GGCCCGCCCTGCTGCTGCCCGCGGGCGGTGGGACGTAGCCGGCCGCAGGGTCGCACGTTTCTGCTCCTGCTTGGCTGGGGGTGCAAGCAAGTATTTCCTCATTGTTTTCCTATTTTCATCCATACGTAGATCTCACAAAAAAACTATGTATGCTAGGCTTTCAATCTGTAAAGACTGCTTGAGTGTTTTTAAACCTTCGAGTTTGGGCGTAGCTGCCCCCTCTGTACCACCTCCGAGGTCTGGTGGTGGCAGCTTAGCTCACAGCGCTCGGGGAGTAAGTACATCTGCTTGCTGCTGTCTCATACGGGCTGTGCTTATGGGTGAAGGCATTTTCTGCTCTGCATCCCTGGATAGACACCCAGGGGGTTGGGTAGTTTGGTTTTTTTCCCCCGTGTGAGAGTTCCTAGGTGTGTTCCACCATCCTGTGGCCTGGCTCATGTGCACAAACACAGGGTTTTACCTGCTGCAAGAATGTAGGAAACAATAAATTTAATGAGCTCTGACCTTTAACGATATTTTTTCTCCCTTACGGTGCACCTGTATGGTGTGACCAGTCTTGACCAGTTTGCTGGATGCTGCTCAGGGTGGGCTGACTCTACCTGTGTAAATGGCACTTGCTGTCAGTCTTCAGCATGGCCAAAATCCAGGTGAGAGGTTTGAGGCCTAATCCTGCAAACCCTTCCTTGCGCAAGGTGTCTCATTTGCTTTGGGTAACCCAGACTAAGTAAAACTTGCTCAGTGGAACCTGTAGCAGCACATGGAGTCATGGGTTTTTCAGTGCAAGTAACATTTGCTGCCACGGAACAAACTGCCGTTGTTTCAAACAGGAGTAGTACTGGGCCCTAACCCAGGGGCAGGAAGGTTCACATCCAGCTAATCCTGGCTGCTAGAAGCTTATTTTTAGTTCAGAATTAGCTGAGGTTCAGCGTGAGCAGTGTGAGGGAGTGGAGAACAGTTCACAGTGCCTCTTTCAGGGAGCAGCTTCAAATGATATGGGAAAGAAACAAGTGGTAAGTTTGGGGATGCTTGAGTCCTACCAGTCTTGCAGCCTTTCTTATTTCTGATATCAAGTGAATTTTTGGAGAGTGGGAAATATTTATTTCTGTATACTCTCTCTATATAATTATATAATACAAAATCTGAAAGTAAACTGCCTTCCTTTTTCTGGATGAGAGAAAGTGCAAGAGCTCAGTTTCGGATTGTTAACGGGAGATTTAGATTTCAGTTGTGTGTGACCTTCTGGTAAATATTTTCAAAATTATATGAAAATTAATGTTTTATCATATTTTAAAGTATTTTTCATAAATAAGCTTATTTCCTTTTTACCGCTTTTACTTAATATTGTTCTGAATTTACACCTTTATTAATAGAAAACACTCAGCTCGTGCGATACACTGTGCAAGTACACTGAATGCATAAATTACTGCAGTATTTTGATATTTAAATAGAATGACTGGTAAGCTTTCCAAGGAAAGCAGTACCTTATATGAAAAGTGAAAATTATTCAAGTGAAGTTGGAATGTAAGCTGGGCCTTGCACACAGCTGTTAGGTACATGTCCCTAATGCAGTGCCCATCAGAATTCTGGCAAAAGCATGTTATTCCTGTGTCGTGCTGAGCACTTTTATGTAACATCTCCGTCAGGAGTCTCTGGCTATTTAAGTGGCATTTGAAACAAAACATACTTAGCGTGTTCTGACCATATCTGGAAAGAGCTGTTTTCTCTGAAGTGGTTTAACAGGCGCTCAAAAGAGAGGTGGTTTCAGACTTACAGATGTTGACTTTTGTCCCTGTCTTGTCTTTCAGTGTCCGCCTCGTGCCCTCCCTCCAGTGCCAAGGTAAGATCAGTTCATTCCATGGAATCGATTACGGTTCTGTACTGTAGTGTTCTTAAAAGCAATGAAATTAAGAGAAATAAGTTTAATAAACATCTGAGTAGTCATAACAGCTTTAAAAATACTTGCTTTTCTTGCTAATTTGTTGTCCCAGAACCCCTTACACAGAATGCAAAGCATTTTAAAGCTTTACAGAGGCTAAGAAATTTTACCACATTACCTCAGTTTTAATACTCTGATAAACCCTTTAAAAAGTTTCAGACAAATAGCTACCTCGGTTTTATTGACAGCTACTTTAGTTTTATGGATGTCCCTCTTTCCAACCTCTTCTTCCTTCCCTGATTGTTTTGTTTCCTGTTCTTTAGTGTATTTGAATCACAAATCCCTCAGAACAGGAATTTCTGAAATTAGACTAGAACTCTTGGACTATAGGTGTATACTAGTTGGACATTATATAGGGTGAAATTTGGGCTTCTTTTTCAGTGCCCTAGTGAGCAGTGTGGAAGGAAAGGCAATGATATAGTTTTTATGACATGGTACTTCAGAATTCCTTCAAAGTACCTAAAAGCAAATGTGACATTGATGATTGATGACATAATGGTAGTGTGTTTTTAGTAATGTATTCGCTTAGATTTTTCATAACTTCTGTTGGTTTGTTACATATCAGGCAGTAAGACAAGTTTTAATTAGCCAGGTGATTAAAGCTTTTAATCTGATCCACAGCTAGCCGATCAAGAAACTGTGCATAGTCACTAACAAAGTGTTGAATCTTGACGATTGCTTCGTACCCTTAACCCTGTTGTACACAACTGCTCATAAAGAGAACTAGGAGTGGGGATAGGGAAATTAATCCCAAAAGCAGCAGTGTGAATTTCACTGTTGTGAATTCTAATTGATTCAAAACTAACTTTCTTCTTATCTTTGTTCCTTTTGCACTGCTCTTCAACACCTTTTCTCCTTAAATGTGAAGTGGAAACCAAGGTGAGTTATTCCGGCATTAAAGAGAATTATAAACATTGGCAGTTCCTTTTGGTGTCACTTCATCCTCTCTTTAAAGATAGGGCCTTATGCTTTTCCTAAATGCAGGCTGATTATTTAAACTGCGTGGATACCTGCGCTGCTATTGCTAGAACTGTCTGTTGTTTTTCTTTCTCTTTACTGTTTGGTATTTCCGTATTGAATCCAGGTAACGGGAATGTTGTCACTGTGCTCTAAACAAGAAGTTTATTCTTCAGAGCATTATTCAGAGTATTTCAGTTTTCTACTTAATACATGTGCATGTGCGTATTTAGCTTCTGTTACACTTAAGACAGATTTCCTATCCTGTTTTCTTGCCATCTTTTGTACTCCTCCTGCTTGTGTGAATTGGTGAATTGTCATCTAATCTGTAAAAGGTGGAGGATGTTTTCACTTGTAGAAAGGAATCCCTTTCTTAACTAGCAATAGAGCGGCTGTTAAAAAAGGGAAATGAAGGTTTCTCTGTGCTGTGCACCTATACTTCTGTTTTATGTTCTGCAGATGAAATTCCACTCAGTCGTCCGAAAAAAAGGAAGCCCAAAGGAAAGACTCCGTTAGGTAAGGTCCTGCCAAGACTGGAAACTGTGTTTGTAATCCTGGGTGAGACCTGCACTGTAGCCAAGCTCCTGACAGATACACGGTTTTCAGTCTTGTACTCTTATTTTTAAATAGTGTTCTCAGCTAATTTATTACCATTGATTTTGTATTGAATGACTGCAATCTTTTTTGCAAAGCGGTGTCATTTTAGAACAAGTCTGTAATGCTAACTGGAGTAACTTGTTCCATCCTCTGCTCTTCTCCCTAGATCCCTTCCCGGTACTGCTAATACAGCATGTCTTGATACTGAACATTGTTATGTTAAATGTGTTAAGTGCTTGAATTTTTGGATGAACTTAAGATAAAACTCATTTAACAAATTGGCTCAGTTTCAGTCCTTGGCCAAATAAAGTCACAAGTTAATCATTCCATTACCATCCAAGAATTAAGAACCTAAAATATGACTAACACCAGAGCTTTGTATTTTTACAAGAAGTGGATCAGCAGAACAAACATAATTTTGAGCAAGTTTACAAGGCTGATCTGTTTTGATAAAGCAGAATGTGCTGATAGAATCTGGTGGATTTCTGTAAACCAGTTGACTTAGGACTGTATGATGCTTTGCTGAGTAAACTTGTTTGAAAGGGCTACAATTGAGTGCTTACTGAAAGACCTTTAAATGCAACAAGTAGAGCTGTTGCTAGCAGGGTTTCCCAAAGATCAAGTTTTGTTTACTGTTGTTTTCAGTGAGCTGAATGACAACTCAAAGTACACCTTGGCTTTGGCCATTACTTCGCTGGTTAATTTTGCATTTTAGCACAGAAGACCTTTCTAAAAGGTGAGAAAACCTGGGCTTGAAGTGAAAACAAAGATAGATTCCATTGTTATCATAAAAACTGCAGTACCTGAAAGAGCTATAAAAATGCAGATGTGATGTAAAATGGAGAAGTAACTTTGTCTTTCTACTTCTAATCATGCAAATTGATGCTACTGCTGCTAGAGTATTTGATGAATTCATCTTAACTTCTCATGGAAATGTAGTTCCTCCAAAGTGTCGTAATTCGTCTTTCAGACTGGAGTAAACATCCTTCAGTGTTGTTTTATTCTGCTCCTCCTTTATTCTTGTGGTGTTTGTTTAGCATTTAAATTTCCCTTTGATGTTACACTGTTTTGCCTTAGCACGTATCTGTGTGAATCAACTTGAAACAAACTTAATTTTTCTTGTCTCTTGCATTTATAATCTTTGCATGTAGAAAGGAAAAATATAGAAGTATAGTTCTTTACTGTGGTAGATTCTTTTCAGTCAGTCCTCTGTTGTATGCCCAGATGGGAATTGTGCTGCTTCTTGGATACTTACATTTCTTCCTGGGCATGAAACTGCCAGGGTAAAAGGAGGGTTGTTAGTGACCACTTTGTATACTCTTACTTATCGCATTTGTTTCCCAGCTCTTATATTTTCTAGCCAATACGTTTTCATCTCAGCTGTAAGCCGGGCAAATACAGACATTCTGCACAATGTAGCAAATGGCAGCTTTTTCTTGCCAGTTTCTCAGCGGCTCTGAATTAAGGTTGCTGGATCTTTTAATTTGGTTTTCAGATGGCATTGTCCAAGCAGCTGTTCGTCGGCAGTCTGAAAGCAGTGAGCCCCTGACTCCTGAACCTCATGATGTCCCTCCTCAGAGGAAACGCAAGAAGAAGAAAATACCTACCGGTATGTAAAATAATTGTAGATTGGAAAGAGCACGGAATAAAACTTGGTAACACAGAAATATGATTGGCCAACTTGTATTTTGGCTTAAAACATTTCAAATCATGTGCTTCTATACTTAAACCAGCTGAAAGTATTCTCTGAGTGAAGGGTAGCTTAGAGTTTCAGTTGCTGATTTCAGATTCCATAGGGTACAAACCCTCATGCAAATAATGGCAATAGTGTTTTGGAAGTGATAAAGTAGATCCTTTATATCATACCAAGCTCAGAAGAGCATCACTTTTCTGCCACTGTGTTTATATAACAACTATTTATCTATCTAAGTGAATGTATTTCCATTTTTATGAAAGCTATGAAACTTTCATGTGGTTTATTTTAAATTTTCAGATTCCGAGACCTCTTTTACACAGCAAAATGTTGCATCCTTATTTCAGAATGGAAATGGCATGGATGTCCCTGAAGCTGAAGAAACAGTGGTCCGCAAACAGAGAAAAAGAACAAAGTGAGACAAAACTAGTATAGTTCATCATTCAGAATAACTGTGATAGTGAATGTGGCTGAGTAGCATTTTACATTGTCACACTACAAAGATGTAAAATCTTGAAGCCCACGATACCATTCAGCCTGTGGAATAAATAGTATGTGTACAGTTCTTTCCAGGGTTAAGATCTGGCTTTCTTCATGTGTTTGTTTTATGCATACCTGGATGCATTACATGAGCCTAATATTTCAGTCACGTGCGTGAGAAAATTAGAATCTGTAACTCCTTTCTTTCATTCTTACTATCTTTTTCTTAATGTTATGAGAAACTTAACTGCTTTCTCATCCTTTTTATTTGCCTTTTCTCCAAGAACTATGTCTTTAAATCATTTTAGTCACCTTTCTACCAGAAGCATACACTTTCTTGGCCTTGTATTTAGTTTGTATTTTTTTTTCTAATTGTTAATCTCTTGATATGTATTTCTTCCCACCTTACTGTTTTGACACAAGAAGGAATTTAAATATAGAGAAAACCCCTAAAATCAAGGATTAGCTTTATGGTTTTAGTTAACTAACTCCATGAGAACTTTAGTCCTTAAAATTTTAAATGGAGGTAATATTGTACAGGTCAGTAGCTGATCCGTTCTTATCAGTCAAGTTAGACATGTTAAATCTTTGCAGGAGCCTTCAGCTTTTAGATTTTACTTCCCGTTCTTTCTCTGCCCCATTGTATGTTCTATGCTGATAGGAAACTTCGGCCAGCTGAAACGCACTGTTCCAATGAGCTGGAAGTGGAGGAGGAAGACATCATTGAAGATGAGCACAGAAAGAGCCCAGATCAGCAGCCTGTGTTTGCTGCTCCCACTGGAATTAGCCAGCCTGTTAGCAAAGTGTTTGTTGAAAAAAATCGTAAGTATGTCTTTCGATTTAAGTAATTTAAGGACATTCTTGCAACTAAAGAAGGCATTATTATATTTAAAATCCAAATACTATACTATTGGGACGAATTAAAGAAAAAGAAGTTTCCCAGCACAAAAATTATTTGAAAATAAATATACATTATAATTTTTCAACTGTGAATGTTAGTGTTGCTGTGCTGGCATGTTTGGTTGAATTTTTGAATTCCATGGTGTGGATGAAAAAGGCTGTTTGATAGTACCCAACTGAGCTTATTTGACCTAATGCTGTCACAGTAGCTTGAGAAGAAAGTATCATTTACTATATTGCAAAAAATCTTTCAAGTGGAAGTGTTTTGGGTGTTGGTTTTTGGTTTTTTTTTTTTGTACCAGGGAGCACTGAGTAATTACCCAAAGTGCTTTGCACATTCTTAAATCCATTGCCTGACCCACCAGGGTGCATCGCACTGACCTAAGCATCCTGATATGAATGTAGGCTGACAAAGAGCAGGAAGTGGGGAGAAAAAATTTTCTGATGGAACTTTTGACACTTAGAGCTTTTTAACACTAATAAGTATTAATGTAGAAATGATGATGGAAGGTAACAGTACTTTCTAAAACTAATTTTCTCACCCTTTCAGGGCGTTTTCAGGCGGCTGACCGTGCAGAATTGATTAAAACCACGGAAAATATCAATGTACTTATGGATGTGAAGGCTTCATGGACTACCAGAGATGTCGCCCTCTCAGTGCACCGAAGTTTCAGGTGAAAGATAAACATTTTAATGTAAATAAGCAGAAATCAGGGTTGGTTTCTTTTTTTTCTTCTCCCTGAAAGTTAGGACCTTTTCTCTATCATTGTGATGTATCTTTATTTCTTTTGGATATTCCTAATAAATGCTGGTTTGTGATGCAACAGGTATAAAGCTTCTCAGTCCTCTAGCTTTTGGTATTTGTTGTCAAGAATATCTATTTCTAGTGTAGACATCGCATGTAAAATGCAACTTCTAAAAAGAATAACTAAGGAAGTCATATTGCAAAGATTCAGACAAAATCTGAATAGTAAGAGATTGATCTGATCACAAAAATGCTAGAGACCTACAGAAGAAAATGTGTTACAAAATGAGATTTGCCCATCAGCTATAATATGACCAGAATGAAAATACCTGAATTCAGATAATTCTCAAAGAAAAATCCTGGTTGGTGAAAAAGAGGGAGGAGTGAAATTGGACTGGGGCATAAGCTTGCACACAATAGCAAAAAATTACTTTTTTTTTTTTAATATGTGGTCATGTTGTGATACAGAATGGGAAGATAACAGCCATTTTCTGGTGTATTTTATCTGGAAGCCTGCGCTTCCTTCTCAACTTTTTCTTAGCAAGGAAGATAATGAAAAGACTGACTGAAGGATAACTTTAAGAGCATTGTGTAAGTGTAAGGGGCAGTGGTCTTGGGAAGCTACAGGCAAAATGGGGGAGTGCGGCGAATGAAAGTATTTGATTCTGGTAGCAGTAATGAAGTGAAGTAGTGACAGGATCAGGGAAAACATCTCGGTTTTCTTTGCTGAGTGCTCAGGTACTGCTGCAGTCTATCAAGGGAGGAAGCAGAAGTCCTGTTGCTTAGAATTTTTAAAACTGGATCAGAAAAAGCACTCAATCTGTGAAACTCTGGGATCCTGTCATGGCAGCAGGGTTGAACAGATGGATTCATAGGCCTTTTCTGTCTGTAGTTCTTCACTGATTCAAGGTATTAAACTTGTCCAATGTTCTTTTCTCCATTCAGGGTGATCGGACTCTTTACCCATGGCTTCCTTGCTGGATATGCTGTATGGAACATCATTGTTATCTACATTTTGGCAGGAAATCAACTTTCCACAGTTTCTAACCTGCTCCAGCAGTATAAGACACTAGCATATCCAGCTCAAAGTTTGTTCTATTTGTTGCTGTCTATCAGTACAGTCTCAGCCTTTGACAGGTAAAATATGTTTGTATTTGAAAGGTATATGTAATTTGTGTGCAATATGTTCCTTTCTTCTTCCTCTGGCACATTTTGATCTGCTGTTGATGATTTAATGTGATATACTTAAGAGCATGATTTTACACATGGCTGGCTATACAGATGAAGGGTGTACTTGTGCATTCAGACCTTTGTTACTCGTTTCTGTCCGTTGCGTGCAGCCTTGCTTCAATGTGCTGGTGCTCTTTGCGTGACCATGCGGTGAACCAGATGGGAGAGCTGACCTGTTTTTTCTGGGGGGGAGAGGGGTGGTGGAGAACAACTGATATTTCTATCAGGTTACTTTTCATGTGAAACCATTTCCCAGTCAGGTTTGCAACATGGCTGTGTAAACAGTTTTCCTGTCTTAGCTGGGGTTTCTGTATTACAGCTTAAGAGTGGGAGTGAACAGAAAGAGGAGCAAAAAAGACCATAAACAGAGTAGATTCACAGATGTTTCTTTTAGTAACAGGTAGTTTCCACAGCAGCATGATAAGCCAGGGGAGAAGTCTGTTCTGTGGAAGAAATTGTGACTTTTTTTTTCGTTAAGTGGTGGCAGGGAAGAGGCCCACGTTATTCTTAATTGCTCCTGTACTAGTGAAAGCTATGTGAGCCATTATATTAGCATAACTCGGTTGGTGGTGTGGACACTGAAATGAATGATAAGGATTAGAGAGGGGACAGATCTCTCCACATTCTCCGCGTTCCAGAAAGGACTGCAGTGTGAAAGCTACAGACCTCATGGAACATCCTCCTTAGTTTCAGTCTTGCTTGGATTTGGCATAGTAAGGATCATTGCCTGTGTGTGGAATATAGTTGTGTATTAAGGCACCGTAACCGAGGCAAAAAAAAGGTATCTTGCAAAAAGTAAAAGAACAATAGAATACTGTTAGAGTAACAGTATTATTATCTTATTGGGCTGTGTTAATGACTGTTGTTTTTGTACTCAGGATTGATTTGGCGAAAGCATCAGTTGCACTGAGGGGCTTTCTTACCCTAGACCCAGCAGCAGTAGCCTCTTTCTGTAAGTATTCTGAAGTGGATAGGAAGTTGTGCAGACAAGACAGTAAACGGAGAAATGCTACCTACTGTTTGCAGTGAAATCTTCCTCCCTGGTTATTTTCTGCTTTAGAATAAGTGACTTACTAAGTAATTGAAAATAGCATTCAAAGGCTATGAACAGTTTGCTACGTATTTTTTAAAGCATTGGCAATAATGAAATAAAGCATTAGTGGGGCTATTAGTGCAATATTCTTTTCCCACTTCTGAATAGAGAACACAGACATAGCAAAAACCAGAATCACAAGATGCCACCTTTGATGTAGCTGATCAATTGCAAAAGTGCAGTAACCAGATTTTGATGGGTCAGGGGAATGTTGAAGAGAGAATGAATTAAAGGAGACTATCACTGGAGGCAGTGGAGTGAAAGGAAAGAAAAAGTAGTGATAATTATCATGTAATGATGAGACAGCATTTTGGGGGGTTTATATTTGACACTACCATTTCCATTTCTTCCAGTGTACTTTGCTGCTCTTATCTTATCCTTAAGCCAGCAGATGACATGTGACAGAATTCATCTCTACTCACCACCTTCGGAAAATGGCAGCATCTGGTAGGAAACTTAAGAAATCACTTCTGTAAATTATAACATAGCCCACTTAGGAACCTTAGTCAAACTGGTGGATTGAAAAAGTTATACAGCATACATAAGAAAGTAGTAATGAAGGATTTCATTACTAAACCTGCCTTTGAGCTTGTCCTGAATCTTTGATAATTTCACTGAAAAATAAGAACTCAAGGATGGGTTTGGTCATGTTGGTTGCAAATCCATTATACCTCAAACAAGAGCCTGTTGGAATGATGCTGAAAATGTCATCTGGCAGAAACCTTAAGAATCTCTTTTGCTGGAGAAATGGGGCCCTACTGAGGTAACACTTTTGTGTTCAAGGGCAGGACATTCTGTAGAGATTCCACACTGTTTTTGAAGGAGATGATCTAATCTGTCCAAGAAATTAATGTCATGGTATTACAAAGAAGTTGTATGTCTGCCACAGGATGCAAGGGCTTAGCAGACACAGCTGGCATTAAATATGGAGCATTGTTTCATGCTAGGAGATCCCATCCAAAACTGTTACTTTCTGAAGTAGATATTTAATGGACTTAAACTCTAGTAGCTCTAGAGCTTTTAAAAACTGTAGAGTTTTTAAAATAGACCAGGAGAAGTAGAACAAAAGCATATACATGAAAATTTGCTGGTTTGGACAGTTAGATATTTTTTCTTTTTTTTTTAGGGCTTCTAGAAATGTTTGTTGAGTTGTTTATTAAAAAGCCTAGAATCTAGTAACAAAACTGCAACCTGCTGCTGTTATGACAGTAAGAAAAGTGTCAGCTAACTTAAATAATAACCTCCTTAAAGCTCTAATCTCATCCACCCCACAGCATCTGTGCACAAGTCCCTGCACTGGCTTCCAGACAGACTTTACTGATTTGCCTCACTTGCCTTGCTGCCTCATGAAGAAGTACTTAAAAATAAGATTGACTGATGACATTGTGCAGTGTCTTTCACCACAGTAAAATTTGACCATGCATTTTGATTTTTATTTTCTGTCTCTTGGCCAAGAAAAGGAATTTGTTGTTGAAATCTACAAGTGGACATTCTCTATGAGATAATGGGGTTTCTTAGCTGAGTCACTGTCTTTGGTAGTCGCTCGCTTTACCAGGCCTTTGCAATGCAAGACCATCAGGATGGTACAAGTAGTTCTGTTTTCACATCTGGCTTAGCAAGCTTGTTTTAACCTGTATGTACCAGTGAACCCCTGACTGATTGGTTGATGTGCTTTTCCCAGGATGGCAGGTACAGAGGAGGAAATTGTTCAGCCGTGGATTGTGGTGAATCTGGTAGTGTCTATTCTAGTTGGGGCAAGTTGGATCTTCTTGTCTTACCGACCAGAGCTAGATCACAGTGAAGGTAGGAAACATTAACAGGCAAAATGTTGTTTGTTCAGGCTTTTATCTGCTGTGCTCCACGTTCGGTGTTCAAGACTAGTCCTGAGAAATTTTGTGGCTGAGGAAAAACAAGTATCTCCTAGCAACTTTCCAAAGCAAGGACTTCTTAGGATGCTGGTGTCTGTGTTTGGTCTTGTAAAGAAAAAACAGTAATTTAAAAAGGAAGGAAAAGCCTTGTTTGTCCTGGCTGAAGCAACATGAATTTTGAAACATGAGAGAGCATGAGTCTTTTCTTCATTGAAGGGAAAAATAATTTTTACTTTAACAGCATTTTGAATATTTGAAATGTATATATTCTGTTGTGTTTTAGAAAATTCCCTAGTGTTACTAACATTACTTTTGCAAATGCTGAATGCATTTCGAGTTCAGTATTATTTTCAATAGAACATTGCAGTAGTTTTGGGAACTCCTGAGCTTTGAAAAGTCAGATTTCAGAACAGGACTTCAAATGAGGACTGCTTGTGTTGGTCCAGGCTGGAGGAGGGGGCAAGCAAGTTGTCCCCTTTTCTTAGAAGAAGCTTTGCTAGAGACTAGGCCTTCTTCCTTTTGTTGGGATCCAAAAGGTGTATCATAACTCAGCTTTCCCATCAAGTGCATGCAGCCTGTGATTTGAAGCTGTGCTGTACATAAAAATCATGAGTTGCAACTTACAAGTCATCAGGTATTCCAAGAGCATCATGAGTTGAAGCACAGATTTGTGTTTGGGAGGCTGAAGAAGACTCAACATGCTTCTGCAGATTACTTCAGAATTTTAATGTACCAATTTCTGTATTTCAGCTGGCCCCAGTTACTCTGCTTATTTCTAATAACTCAGTGAGTTAAAAAAAAAAAAAGCTAGGTGGCAGCCTTTACAATCTTTGAAAGTAAAATTTATAATAGATGTTTTAATTGCATTTAAAAGCCATTTTTAAAATAATAAAGACTTATTCAAGGAAGCCAGTGGCAGGATTTAACTCAGGTTTTGATGGGCTTTTTTGATATTTACATGTGCCTACTAAGATTAGAAAACCTGCTTCAGAAATTTCAAGAGAGAAATTCTGTTAGGACTTACCCCAAATAGTAGAGAAAGTTTAGTCTACTAAGAATGAGGTAGCAAAAACATGTGAATCTCAAACTTGAGTGGATAAACCACATTGTTGCATGTAGAGATTGTGTAACTTTACCATGTTCACAAATTGTTGGCAAACACAGCCTGGTCTATATGCTGAATGTGCCGTTAGCAAGACTGAAAGTACACCTATGCTGAGGATGCAGTATAGGTATATAAGGGAACCCAGATATGCGAAGCAGCACAGAGCTCCACAAGGGCTACCACATCAGCTCCTTGGCGTGCCTAGCTGAATTTCTCTGCAAGGAGCTCTTGACTGCTGACCTTAGGCTGCCTCTCATGCCTGAGCTGCCGTGGTGGCAGCTAGCTGTGAGCAGTATCATTCATGATTCTTTCTGTCCCAGGCTGTAGTGTTGCTAACTTACACTGTGATACATAGAGCAGATATATCCATAAATGAACAGGTCTCTAAACAGAAATCTTCCTTCTTGAGCAACCTGGTCTAGTGGAAGGTGTTTCTGCCCATGGCAGGGGGGCTGGAACCAGATGATCTTTAAGCTCCCTTCCAACCCAAACCATTCTATCATTCTGTGATTCTTTGATGCTATGATTCTTGAGTCTAACACTCTCAAAACTTATAACAATCCCTCAATCTACTTCCAGATTTCTGTGTCCTTGTCCAGGTTAAATGCAGGATGCTACTGCATATGATCAGCTACTAACATCATTGCTAATTCTGTTTATTTTGGGGGGCAACAGTAGTTTTCTCAAGACAGTGGTGGCCCTTGACATTGCTAAGTTGTTGATATTATGATTGGGAAGAAAAGCAGGAGGCTTGGGGAAGTGCCAGAGAACTTTTCAGGAATAATGAAATCATGTTCAGGTGAAACTTTTAAAGGAAAACATAATACTTTTCTTTCTCTTTTAGAACTGATGTTTCATGCTGAAATCGAGGAATTTCCCCAGGGAGATATCATACCCAGGGTCCAGCCATAGGGTCCAGCCATAGTGTGGAACAAGCATCTGCAAATATTGTAGCTGTGACTGATGTTGTGTATTATAGCCATGTATTATAACTTTCTTAAAGAAAAAAATGTATTTTTATATTGTATATATTTGATTTTATCTTTTTATGTATGCTACAATTTCCAAATGTGATTGAAAACTTTTATACTTTTGCTTTTTATTTTACAGAGTAGATTATCTCTAGTGCATAAAGTCAAGGTGGTTTTGTAAACATTGCTACCTATATAGCCAAAGAAACTAGATGGATGCAGATCAGGTATTCAGTGCTTTTTTGACTGCTGTACAACAACCTGCTTTTGTTACTGATGCTGATAGCAGTTGGCTTACCTGATTTGGCTAAATACTCTCTAGAGATTAAAACTAATCTTACGAAGAAAGTAGTCTAAGGAAGATTATAACAAAACAGAGTTAGGAAACATAAAAATGTTAGAAAGCATAAAATAATCTGGGTTTAGTTGTCATAAAAAGTATTTGCTAGAATACGGAATTGGATTGTCAGGGATTTTGTTTGATAATTCCTTAAAAGAGGACACTTTATTTTTCTTCATCTTCATTTAGTTCTCTTGACAAGATCTTGATGATAACAAGTTCTTTCAAGTTGATGTAGACACAAGAAACAGAAGTTTTAATGTTGCAACAGTTTGGTCAGCTAATAAATACTTAAATACATCTTTTAATCAAGCAGGGTGTTTTTGGGTTGCCAACAGGACAATCGTACGTCCTGAAATTTCTCGACAGTCAGGACACATAAGTATTACAAAGCCATTCACAGGAATAGTGTTCTGATTTCTCCTTATCTTGTATGACGAGCAATAGTGTTATTCACTGCTCTTTCTGAAGAAACATGGATTTCACAGATGTTAAAAATGTTCCTACTTCTGCCTATTTTGATGAAGAATGATTTCCCCCAAAAGGATATTTGTTAATTTGTGTTAGGATGGAATGGGAAACGTCTTCCTAAAATTACAAGAAAATGCTTACTAAAGCAAAACAAAAACCCTATAGCAACCCACCTTCTACATAGTGATGTAGTAGTAATAGTGGCAGTTGGTGGTTTTTGATGATGAAAGCCAAGATTCTTTTTCTTTTATATTAAAGTGGCAAAATGAAAGCACTGCAGATGTGAATAAATACGGATGTCTTGCAGGTTGAAACAGTCTCCTTAGCAGACATAGACAAGAGCTAGTTTGAAATCCATTTCTCAAGAAAGTATCACCTAAAGCCCCCAAACTATTTGTATATGTTCTTTAATATGTATTGATTTTGCATTGTTCTATTTAATGTGTGTGTCTAAGTGTGGTTGTAAAGGTTGTGCAGTTGTCAAAGTTCCCTGGAGAATTACTGTACTTTCTAGTAGTGAAGATAAGACTTGAAGGGGGATGTTAAAGAGCCAGTAGCTTTCTATGCTGTTGCCTGAGTTGCTTTAAAACAAGGATTGGAACATGAATAACTAGGGCTGCTGCTGCCCTGTTGAGGACTTGAGTTCTGTTATGCTCATCCAGCAAATTTAAGTAATTCAAAAATTCAGTGTTCATGACATTTTTTTAAATGCTGTTGTAATGTCGGGGGGGGGGGGGGGGGGGGAAGAGTTCTACCAGAATTAAAAGACTTTTCACAGCTGTTGGCTGTGTTCTGGGGCATTCACTTCATTGTGAGAAGGAGTTGTTAACATTTTACAAAAAAGGTTACGGTTCTTCTGTATGTTGATTTGCAAAACTGTAGAGCTAAATTATGGCTGGCACTCCGTTGTCCATTAAAATGGAGAGATTCAGGGTCTGCTCCCCTTCAGTGTTACACTGGAGGTTCGTGTCATAATTTGCCTTTAGGAGATGGGGGATGAGCACTACATAGTGTTCCCATGCAAGTTGCCACCACACTTTTCTCCATATGTGGTATGTTCGATTTATAGAATTGTTGAGCTCCTGAAGATGAGATTAATAATGGCTTCTCTTTGCTGCTTGACATTTCTGTTGTCTTGGCATGGTAAGAAGTATAATTTTGCCCATGAAGTATGGATCTCAGGCACAACAGTGCTAAGACATCAAATCAGTACGGGAAAAACTTGAATAACATCATTGCTTGATTGCTGGTATTATTACTAGGAATTGGCCTTCCAAGTAGCCCTTGGACAAAGTGATGCTAGCCAAGAGCCAGATTCATTCTCGTGAAATAATAGTAGTTTGTTTAGATGGTTGAGCAGAGATTAAGTTAATTAACTTAATAGGATCAATATTTCAGACCAGGTTTGCCTTTCCAGTTTATATTCTTGGGAGGGTCTAAGTATATACATACTTGAATTAATGAGATTTGAGGTTTGCCACTTAAAATCACACCTAATGAACAATTTGATGGCTAATGATCTATTTTACAGAGTACTTTTCATTCCATCAAGCCTCACAATGGAATATGAGTTGAACTGAGCTTCTTGTTTAGTTATTTGGGAAGTTTTAGAATGAGTTTACAAAATAGACGTTTAATTACAGAACATGCAATATCTGTAGCAGCCTTAACTGAAATGCCTTTGTGCGTTTCCATACCATTGTTTTTAATGCAGTATTTTTGTGTTAATGAAAAAATTACAAAGATGTTAGTGCCAATTTCTTGGTTTTACATACACGAAACAATTAAACAACTGCTCTAAACTAGTTAGAAGTGATTGTACTACTTTGTCCTGCTTCCAGATGATTAGTCTGTTTATTATGTATAATATACAAGCTCTGAAGAGGTGATTATGGGAAAACATTTTTTCTTTATTTGTGGTAGTGTTGAAAATAATGGCTTTTTTCTCTCCA